GGAGCAGCTGGTGAGCTTGAACCGCCAGCCTTGTAGTTCAAACAGCTTTGCAGTCTGATGCATTAACCCACAGAGCCACACCAGGACTCCAAGGTTAAACTGTTAAGTTATTAAGTGCTGTCGAGTCAATTCTGACCCATAGAGACCCTGTATAGGGTTTCCAAGGAGCAGCGAGTGACCTTGAACCGCCAACCTTGCAGTTCAAATGACTTTACAGTCTGACGCAGTAGCCCACAGCGTCACACCAGGGATCCATGGCAGGAAAAGCACTTTAAAAAGTCTTCTTGGTTTTCAACTCAGCTGCTCCCTTTCTTCTTAAGAGTTAAGACTGAAGGAGCCATATTTCCTGTGCCTTCCTAGGATCCCACTGTAACTGGCTATGGAAATGAAATCGCTACAAATACGTATAAATTTTTAGTGACACAATTTCAATACAAATTTTTATTTTGAAAAGTTACCTATAAAGAGAGAGGGAGATTCCTGGTGTAGCACTGTAGGATAAGTACAGTTCAGCAGTTCAAATGCACCAGCTCCTCCTTGGAAACCCTATAAAGGGTCACTATGAGTCAGAGCTAACTCAACAGCACTTAACAACAAGGAAAGTCAGTCTGAGGAAGGGGAATGGAGGGTGCCATGGAGTGGACAGAAGAGACTCATTCTTTTCTATAAGACCAGGGAAGGCCTCTTTCAAGAAGTGACATTTCAGTTAGAGCTTGAAAGAAAAGAAGGAGTGAGATAGCACTCTGAAAAAGAGTGCTGTGAACACTGTCAACAAGATGTGCAAGGGCCCTGAGGTGGACACGTGCCAATATAGCACAACAGGAAGGGGCAGAAATTATGATACACTGCGGAGTTTGTCAGTGTTCAATATAGTCAATTGTTTCTCAGTTTCAGCCAATTGTTTTAAAGAACTTCTTTTTTTTTTGGCTTTAAAATTTTTACATCTAATTCCAATATATATATATATATATATTTATATATATATATAAATGTTATGAGTGCCAAACAAACAATACACACATGATAGCCTTGCATCCCATCAGCCAGCCCATTCTCCTAAGCCCATGATGCTGCATTCATTAAAAACAGATACCAGAGAGAGAGAGCAACTTACCCACAGCATCACCGGTAATGACAAAGCTGACCGTCATTAAAAAATAGGTTCTGGAACCAAACTTTCTGAGTTTAAATATTGGGTTTACCACTTCCTGACCACTTTTTCCTACTTTTTCTTAGAAAAAATGCTTAGTATCTCCAGACCTCAGAGTTTGTTCAACTCTGGCATCAAAATATTAGCAGTGCCTACCTGGTGTGGCACTGTAGGATAAGCATTGAACTGATAATCATAAGGTTGGCGGTTCAAACCCACCAGCTGCTATTTGGAATCCCTATACGAGATTGCTATGAGTTGTAACCAAATAGATAGCACTGAACAACCTCAAGATGTAATCTATGTAAGCAGTTAGAAATACAATATTTTTAAAAAGATATATAAGAAACATTCAGTAATTTTTGCTGCTGTTACCAGGATTCCCACAATTCCACTTTTTCTTCCTGCTTTCCACCCCTGGCTTTTATGAAATGCAAGCCCAGTCTTCCAGTCAGTTAGATGAGCCAAGTCTTGGTGTTAAATAATGGTTTTACAAGCCCTGATTTAGGCTTCACTGCAGGCCCTAATATTACAAGACTGATAAACAGTGCTGCTTTGTTCCTAGAATTGTTTCTTTTGGATTTATGTTTGAAACTAGTTGGATTCACCAAGCTCTGGCAAGGATTAGAGGTAAATCAAAGAAGCAATTTATTCCTCGAAGCCAGATGTGACCTTGCATCCCATCAGCCAGCCCATTCTCCTGAAGGGCGGCAGTGAGAGGCTCTGACATTCTGAAGGTGCCTGAGGATTTATTTGAGCTTGATCATTAGCAAGAGGATCCTGCACCTGATACAACCAATGCTCCAGAGATGAGCGCAGAGTAAGCGTGAATCTTTCCACCTCAAGGAAATTGTGTTTTCTACCTTGCTTTAGAAAGACATAAATTAAGGTGATGAGAATAGTAGAATCTAAACCATTTAAGGGAATTTTTATGAAGTTTACTTGGATTTGGTTTTGTCTGATGATAGAGGGGTGCCCTTATGTCTCGAACCTCAGCCAGTCAAAATTTACCGAGGGCCCTAGAGAAGGATTAACTAATGTCGTGGTCCCTGAACCAGCAGAATCAGTATTACCTGGGATTTTATTAGAAATGCAGACTCTTGATTCCCATGCCAGGCCTATGGAATCAGAACCACTGGTGGTGGTGGTTATGTGCCATGGAGTTGGTTCCAACTTTTAGCAACCATGCATAGGGTTTCCAAGACTGTAAATCTTTACGAGAGCAGAAAACCTCATCTTTCTCCCATGAAACGGCTGGTAGTTCCGAACTGCTGACCTTGAGGTTAGCAGCCCGACTTGTAACCACTACACTACCAGAGCTCCTTAGAAGCGCAGGGGTGGAACCTAAATCTATGCTTTCATGAGCCCTCTTGTAGTGCTGATACATGCTCAGGTTTGAGAGCTGTACCGTCAGAGAATCACTGGTCTCTGACCAGGCGGTGGGCTCTCCTGGTTTAAGAATGGGGGTTGCCACTTAGAAACTGTGACACATCTCTGAGCCTCATTTCCTTATCTGTTAAAGGAAATAATGATTACCATGATGATTAAACATGGTAATGTCGATGAAGTGTCTGGTTTATAGGAAACACCCAGAAAGTGTTTAAATAACTTTTTAAATAGTTACTGCCATCATCATCATTTTGTATCAAGGTAGGTAGATATACTCTACTAGGCCTTTATAGTCTCTGTAGGTAGCTCAAAAAGGAGTCCCAATGGGAGAAAACCGGAGGTAACTGCCCTTACGTGCCAGCAAGCGTCTCTCTGCTGAAATGCCCCCTCTCCAAAAGAGTCGTAATAATAATAACCAGTTGCCCTTCCCATGTGTTTCTCATCCTTACCAAGCATGTTTCTATCTTGTGCCCCTTCTCTGCCTTCATAGATCCTGTTTCTTCCATGCTAGTTATGAGCCAGGCTGCAAAAAGTAAGCATCAAACTATCCTCCCACAATGCTTTCTGTGCAGCTGGGTTCTGTAAACGGCCACACAGAACTCCGACAGCATACTCAACAGTTATGGGGTTTATTAGGGAAGTTATTAGGGAAGTTTATTAGGGAAGTTACGTAGCGTAGTGGTTACGAATCGGGCTGCGAACCTTAAGGTCAGCAGTTCGAAACTACCAGCTGTTCCGCGGGAGAAAGATGAGGCGTTCTGCTCCCGTAAAGATTTACCGACTCGGAAACCCTGTACAGGGTCGCTGTGGGTCAGAATCGACTAGACTAGATGGCACTTAACAACAACAACAACAGGTTACAATGCAGGGTCAGAAATGCTCAGGGCACACTTATTCTAGTGAGGACACCCTCTCCTTAGCCAAGTCCACAGGCGGGCCTCTCTTGGCTAAGGGCAATGTTAACAAAGCTCTTTCGGGGTTGCTGATGAATGCCCGCAGGAAACACCGCTCCACCGGAAGCCTCAGCCTGAAAGCGCTCAGCTCTCCCGGAGGGGTCAGCAAACCTTTCCCCCCAGTTAGGTGCCTGGAGGCACCCCATTCATACCCACAGCCACTCCTTTTGACTTGCTGGGTGAGCTGGGAAGTCTGCAGCTCTGTCCTGTGCTTGGATTCTTGGGTCTGCTGCTTTTCTCCTGTCAACTTTCCGTTCCTGAGTCTAGGATCTTCAGCGCTCAGGGCACTCAGGTCCTAAAGGACACACTCCACTCTGGCTCTTCTTGAAGACAGTGAAACGCCCCCTTCTGCGTTTAAGATGGCTCACTTAAAATTCGCATTAGAGTTCCAAGTTTTCACAATCAGCAGTCGCTCACAACTGAATCATAGAATCCAGCAGCATCTTCCCCCACCTTCTCTTACTTAGACCCTCCAGGAAAAAGTTGCAGGTTTATGGAGTTTCTGAAGAGTGTAGCTAGAAGACACATTATTAAATAACACTGCACTCACACATCTTTCATTATGCCCAATCCTTCTGCAATCCTGAAAGCACATAACAAAGGTGGGCATTTTTGTCCCCATTTTACAGATGAGGAGACTGAGGTTTAAATGGCCCAGGTTCACTCAGTGACCAAGTTTACTCTGATGCCAAAACCTTGGCTATATAATTGACACCAATTACCATGAAATCCCAATTCCAATCATGGTGACCCCATGTACGTCAGAATAGAACTGTGCTCCATGTGGTTTTCAATGGTCAGTTTTTCATAAGTAGATCACCAGGCCTTTCTTCTAAGGGGCTTCTGGGTGGACTTGAACATCCAACCCAGGAAGGCTTTGCCTAGTCGATTCCAATTTGTGGTGACGTCATGGGACAGAGTAAAACAGCCCCATAGGGTTTTCTGGGCATTAATCTTTGTGAAGCAGATGGCCAGATCTTTTTCCCATAGAGCTGCTGAGTAGGTTAGAACCACCAACCTTTAGGTTAGCAGCCAAGTGCTTAACTGTTACACAACCAGGGATTCCAATGCCGCCGAGTCCATTCTAACTCAGAGTCACCCTACAGGATAGAAAAGAACTGGCCCACGGGGTTTCTGAAGGCATCCATCTTTACAGGCTGCTTCATTTTTCTTGTGAGAAGCAGCTAGTGTGTTTGAGCTGTCATCCTTGTAGTTAGCAGCCTGATGCTTAGCCCACTGTGCCACCAGGAAGGTTTTCATGTTCCCCTTTGTTCCAGGTGTGTGAGCTGAGTCTCAGAGGTCATGTGAGGCCACCCTGCACGTGGGTAGAGTCATGCTCCATTGTCCTCTAAACTCTTTTCAGAATGCAATAGCTGCTGCCAATTTGGGCAGCCGGAAAGACTCTGCATGCCTGCATGGCACGGGTGCCCGGAGGTGGAAACAAATGAATGCTCTCTCTGAGCCTTTCTGAGGACAGCAGGTGACACCTGTCCTTTCTGTATTGGCAGGTCTTTTACAGATGGAACAGACAAAGCAGCACATCTGTCATTGAGACAAATAAAACATCGGTGGAGCTCTCTTTGCCTTTTGATGAAGATTACATCATAGAAATCAAACCGTTCAGTGATGGAGGAGATGGCAGCAGTAGTGAACAGATTCGAATTCCAAAGATATCAAGTAAGAAAAGACTTGTTTCTATTTTCCCCTGCCCCCTGCCTGCTTTATCAGCCTTCCAGATGAGTGACAGGTTGAGAGAAAATAAGCCCATAAATGAAGACCTCATAAACATGAGCAATGCCACCCTTTTCAGCAGACAACTGCCTACAAGTGGCGACCTGCAAAACCACCTGTTGGACCAACTTTGATTGATTTAATCAATTTCAGATTTAGAAATCACATCAGAGTATCCCAAATTCCATCTGTCAAGTTTTTCTATGAACACACGGCCCCAAGAATGACAGCTTGCATATTAAAAGCATGACTCAGTTGGGTTGACAGGGAAAAACAAAAGCTCTGCAATATACTCTAGCAGTTTGTCACCAGTGAACTTTTAGGTGAAAATATTTTGAACTGAACACTATTTTGAATGTGTGTCTATGGAGTCCTGATGTGGAACTGTACGATAAGTACTGAACTGCTAACGGCAAGGTTTGTGGTTCAAACCTACCATCTGCTCCTCAGAAACCCTATACAGGTTTGCTATGAGTCAGAACTGACTCAACAACACTTAAAAAAGTTTAACGTATGTACATAAATATGATGGAAAAATGGAATTAAAAGATAGTGGATTTTGTCCACAGACTTTCTCAAGTCCCTCCATGCATATATTTACGTAAAGATTATCTTCATTGACAAATATTGTTAAATAGTGAGAATATTCTTCTTTGAGGCAATATATTAAACTGTGTTGTTCCTAGTACTATGATAAGCACTGGACTGTGAACCACAAGGACGGAAGTTCAAACCCACCAACTGCACCTTGGAAACCCTATATAGGGTTGTTATGAATCAGAACCAATTTGATAGCACTTAACAACAACAACAATTTTTACACATATCTTAGCATATATATATATCTATATTGAATTTTTGGTATCTTACTGATACTAAGTTATACTAAAGCATCCTTTAGGTCATTTTAATTGCCTCTGAAAAATTTGGTTGCCTCATATCTAAAAAGTTCATTGGTCAGCTCACCCTTCTGAATTGCTTTCTGTTTAGGTGGAAATCAGTGTTTGTTAATGTTAACAAATAGAACAGATATTTCAGTGGGAAACTGAGGCCCCACAGTGCCATGATCTACAACTTTGGGGAGATTTCTGAGTGTTTCTAGATGGAGTTTACATTTTTGGTGATGACGTTCCTTGCCATTGAGTTGATCCTGACTCACGGGGTTCCCTTGTGTGTAGAAGAGAACTGTGCTCCATGGGTTGTCAGAGCTATGGCCAGGCCTTTCTTCCACAGCACTGCTGAGTGGGTTTGAGCCATCCGTATAGTGGCTAGTAGTTGAGCAGTTAAATTTACTGCCACTCAGAGGCTCCTGGCTTACATTTAGCCCTTTTTTTTTTTTTAAGTTTTATTGTGAATTGAGTGATAGTTTACATGGGAGAATATCAGCTTTACATTCATCCTCTCATGTTTCATTTCATTGTAATAATTACAATGCCCGCCATGCATCATCATTCAACAGCATTTGCTTCCATTCCCTCTGGGTTTTGTGGTTTTTTTTTTTTGGGGGGGGGGGCAGTATATACCAAAGCACTCAGGAATATATAACCATTCAAACAACCAAAGGGTACACCCCACAAGCCTGCCCCCTGGCTGTAGGCACACAGCCCCTCTCCGTCCCTGAGTTCAGAGTCCCCAGCTGCTCCATCTCTCCATGACATCTTCTCTGCCTCCATCTCTGGCATCCTGCTTCTCTGGATAGGGTCCCACACTCCAGTCTCCTCCCTTGTTAGGCCATCTTTTTCTGTATTGGAACACTAAAGCATTTTTCTGACGTGACGAACCCAAGGAAGTTGGATTCTGCATCTCTCTAAAAACAAGTTCTTCTCACTTCTGCTGAAATAGAGCCAGTTTTAGGGAGAGATGTGAAAGGAATCTACAGGTCACAAAACCACAAGATTGAGGTTTGTTTTGTGTTTTATTTATCTCATTTTGTTAATGTCTGAATTCATACTTTGTGACAATTTCAAGGTGATTTTTTTTTTAAGTCTGGTGATTCTTAGATGCATGCATTATGAATACATATGATGGGACTTAAAAAAAGCCCTTGAAAACTAGAATTAAAAGATAATGGAAGTTTTTCCATGAAATATGTTAAGCCCCTCATATACAAGAGAAAGTCAGAAAGTATTGCTACTAGGATGGTGGCAGATAAGCTCTTTGTCATACACTGGTCTTAGTCTCTCTAGTGTCCCTTCAAAAACATACCCAACAAAACAGTGCTTTCTGAGAGTATCTGCTGGGTCAGTTGAGTCCAAGGCAAAGAGGTCAATTCAGAGGTTTGGGGGACTGTTTGGGGGACTTCAAAGGGTTGATCTTGATATATTTTTCTCAAAGAACACAGGATGATCACACAGACTTAACTATGAGGAAGTTTTCCGAAAACTGAGAAACCTCCATTAGTTAGAATTTTCCCCCCATAATAATGCACCTGCTTATTTTTTTGAGGGTAGCAATAGCTGCCCTAAGAGAATTTGTTGTTGAAATTTACCCCATCCACACTACAACCCTGATCTTGCCTCTTCAAATTCTAAAGACATTTCAAAGGGACATAATTTGAGTCCCTAATTGCAAGATCAGTGGTTCGAGCTCACTAGCTACTCCTCAGAAACCCTATACAGGGTCGCTGTGGGTCGGAACTGACTCAACAGCACTTAACAACCACCACAACAATATAATCAAGCTGCCTTTTGGTGTGGTATAAATCCAAGAATGCAGAATTCTTTGGGGAAGGGTTAGAGAGACAGAAATACCACCTTCAAAATTATATAGACCTAGGTGGAGGATGTGTGCGGAAACAATAGCTTCGCATTTTGACATTTTTGTTTTGTAGCAGTACTTTTTGTTTTACTCTTGTATTAAATAATTATATGACTATTAGTATTAATTATGGGGAGAGCAGTGACTCTGTAGGATACGCACTAGACCACGAACCACAAGGTCGGTGGTTAAGGCACACCAGCTGCTCCATGGGAGAAAAATGAAGCTTTCTGCCCCCACAAAGATGTACAGCCTCAGAACCCTATACAGGGTCACTATGAGTCAGAACCAGCTCAGTGACACATAACTACTACAACAAATATTCATTATACTAGTACGGATCATGGACTGACCAAAACGTGTTATCTTCCCTTAAGGGATTTTTCATTATGTTGGTCACAGAGATTTTAGCATCTTGATGAAGCCCTAAATGATGTAGGCAACCTTTCTGCTGTGAAAAATGCAAGACTCATAAGAAGCTACACAGGATGGAGACCATTTTGTTAGGGAAGAAAGCGATAGGAGTTTTGAATTTTTGATTCAGCCGTTTGCTACTGGCTGAGTGATCTTAGACTAATTGTCTTACCTGTCTGTGCCCCAATTTCCTGTCTGTTATATGGGAGTCATGATAACGGATCCTCATGGGTTTGTTTGGGGTTCTGTGTTTTGTTTTTCAAGAATCAAGTGATATGTTGATCTGTGCCCAGCATCAAGATTGAATTCAAAACAGAGGTTGTTTTTGTGAGTTCCCGTCAAGTTGGCTCCTGCCTCATGGAAAACCCACGCAGAGCAGAACGGAACACGGACTAATCATGAACCATTGCCGTGACCCATTGTGCATTGGACTGCTATGATCCATAGAACATCATTGTGTGTGTGGTTTTTTGGGTTGAGGAGAGGGGTTGGTTTGTGTGTGTTTTAACTTTTCCTTGTGAATTGGGTGAAGGTTTACAGAGCAGGCCAGTTTGACATTCAACTATTCACACACATTTTGTTTCATTTCACTGATTGCAATCCCCACAACGTAACACCTTCCTTCCTTGCTTCCTATATCCATTCCTTCTTCTTCCCTAACCTTTCTGAATTTTTATTTCAAATGGTTAATTGCTCTAAGTTCCATGACCCTCCTGTTCCACAGTATCAACCTATTATTTGACATAAAGTTGAACCATGGGGGCAAGTTCATTTCCAGACCTCAAAGGTGACTAAAGGTCATAGTCTCAGGAGTTGTACTGGTTTCTGTCCAACCAGGCCATTTGGAGTGACCTTCTCTTTCTCTTTTCAGATGCCTACGCAAGAGGATCTGGGGCCTCCTCTTCGAATGCATGTACTCTGTCAGCCATCAGTACCATCATGATTTCTCTCACAGCTAGGTCCAGTTTATGACAAAAGTGATCGAAAGGACTTGCTGTTTATAATATAAGCAACATTTAGCTAGTTGTTTTGAAGACACCCAGTACTAAGTAATATTGTTGTTCAAGTACATCTTATTACTGGAAAAAAAAAAATGTTTTTTGCTTCTTTAGGAATGGCATTATACAGTACTTCCTCAAAGCAAATCTAGCTTTGTCTGAGGTTTCTTTGGAAACTCTGCAATGCACTGAAAACATCTGTAATATGATGTTACCAAAGCAGTTTACATATGTCCTTATATGCATATTTTTTATTATATATTTAGTGTTTTATAGAATTTTTTAAAGTTAACATATAATGTAGATATTAATTTTTTCCTCTGCTGTAAAGTGCTCTGGGCAACACAGTCATACAGCTATTATTTGGAAATATTTCCTTTAAAGACAGAGTTTGAAACTCTTCTTGGTAGATAAATTGCAAATCACTTGGACAGTTTTACAAGTCTATAGCAGCAGAACAGCTAAAGACTTGGTCTTTAAGCCAAGGCTGCTGGATGTAAATGACACATTTGATGGTTAATACACTGAATCAAGTCCTTTTGATGTGTAGAATATGTTTTCCCATCCTATTGTGAATTCCATTATTCAACCCAATTTAAGATGGTTCCAGAAATGGCTGCAATCTCAAAATCTGAACATACTGCCCAAGAGGTACCTCGTGCAATACTCCCATCCCTGAATTTAGCATTGTACAGTAAGATTTTCTTTGCCCTCAAGTAAGTTAGCATTGTCTTCGTAGCATTATCTTAGACCTTACATTTGAAGTTATATATTCTGTGGTAACATAGACCCAAAGTTACTATAGTCAACCAAGTCTTTAAAAAGATAAAAGATAATTTTACTATCTTCAAATGTATCTGTTTTGAATGTACATTTAAAAACAATAGTAATTCTCTGTTGATGGATTCATAATTTCTTTACAGACTTTCGTAACTATAATATGTATATCTCTTTATTAATAGAGCCCGTCTTTTGAATCAAAATCATGTATGGAGTTTGGAGATTTCTCCTATTTCAGCAAATAGTTGCCGCAACAAGTTTTTTCATAATCTATAAGAGATCTTTAGTACAATTGTATGGTATCTTGACAATTCTACTGTTTTTGCAATAGGTAGCCTAGTTGCTTTATAAGCTCTACCTTCTACATCTTAAAAATCACACATTGGAAAGTGACAATATCAGCAAAACCAGATTCTTGTGAAAAGAACTATTTATTATTGGGGGGAGGGGTTTGTAAGCTGACACCAGTGGAAGAGTGAAACCCAAATGACAATGAAATGTTCTATACAACTCTTCACATGTAAACACGCCGCCACCTTTTCTTCTTAAAGAGCTCAAATTTGCCTGTAATTTGTCATTTTTTTGCTTACAAATAATAGAAGTTCACTTTTCAACCTTCTAGCTCTATTTATTCAATGAAATCGTAATCAGGATTCCACATGTGTAAAAATTAAGGGTGTTAGCCAGAAAAACAACAACAACAACAAATATATATATATATATATTGTCAGTATTTCAAGCTGTGTTCCTTTCTTAGTTTGATATGGTTACTTCTATGTTAAAATAAAATTCAAAACCACACTAAAAAAAAAAAACAAAAAACAATAAAATGAATGAAAAAAAAAACAACCAGGCACCCAGGTAGTTCCCAACCCCAGTGTAAATGATACTTATCAGTGATCTAGCAGATGTAATCTTTTTTTAAAGGTATTGTTAATAAATATTCTGTCATTTGTAAAATCTTGTCTTTTGGGAGCATTTTTCCTGCCTGCATGTCAGGGAATTTGATAGCTCACCCTTGAGCTAGTTATAATTTAAGGTCATGGAGTGACTCAGAAGTCTCTGGTCATGACCCCAAAGCTAGTTGACCCCAAGCTATTTCTTTGGCATTCACACCCTGAAGACACCATTTCAAATCCTCCTTGGAAGTAGGGAGACTCCAAAGCCACAACTAAATGTCCTGAAGATAAAACTTGGATCTTGATTAGCTACATCTTTTGTTTATTTACTCCAACTATATCTGTGTGTGGTTTTTGTTTTTAAATTTTTTTTTTTCTTTCTTTCTTTCCCATACTACCTCCTCCACTGAGCATTAAGGCCCTTCTTAATCTAATAGCCACTTAACCTTGTTCCCAGCCACACTGAGCCCTCACTGGCCCCTGGATATGGCTTGCTTGGTCTCACCTCTGTGCCTTTTGGTCTTATGGCTACCCCTTCCTGAAATACCTTCCCAACCATGCTCTTCCACCAAATGCTGGCTGCCCTTGGGTAGTTCCAGCCTCAGCTCATATTTCAGTCCCTGGTGATAACTTCCTCTGAATTTGCCGCAACCCTTGCTGATCCCCCTCATTTAATAATGAATCAGGTACTACTCTTGTACGGAAAATCTCTTGTACTGTTATCTTGCATTTTAACTCATCTCCTGTATTGTTACTTAATTTTCTTTGTATGTATGCCTTGTCTTCCCAACTAGATTGTAAGCTCCTTGAGGGCAGGGACATTGGTCTTCTCTTCCATGTACTCTCCATAGTGTCCAGCACAGTGCCTTGCAATAAATACTCATTGATTAATTGATCAAAGGGGTCTTTGAAGTAGCATTTTGCATCAGTTGCCTGCCTCTGTGCCCTAGCAAACCAACCAGGAAGATGATGCCACTAACTTTGTGATGTGGTGGGAAGTATTTAAAGGCTTAACTCCTAACTTTATGCCTTAAGGAAGTCTTTTAATACCTCAGCTTCATCAAATGATAAATGAGGCTCTGGGTTAGTCCACCTGTCTGAGCTGAAGCTATTTTAGAAAGTGTTCCTTAGGTACCATCACCCAAGCTTGTCTGATTTCTTAGCTTCCATGGTTGTTGCAGGTAGGGCTCGTGGTTGCGGACAACAGAAACAACTCAGGCTAACTTGAGCACACAAGAGAAATTAATTTGATGGCACAGGGTACAGCAGATGAGATGAAGAAAAACTGAAGAGCACGCCTTGATAAGAAGAAGAAGTAGACCACTCTGAGGGTGCAGAATGCAGACTCTGACAGGTTTTTTGAGGCTCTCTTGTAGAGATTTTGATGTCACTGTGTTGAAGATCCAGATTTCTGGGAAAGAGTCTGATTAGCCCTGTTTAGGTCACACTGGCAGAATACCTTGATCACACTCAATCAGCCCTGATAGGAGAGGAATCTTTTACTAAAGAAAAATGGAGATGATGTGTACAGAAGATAGAGGAATAAATACTGGATATGTCTAAGCAACAGATTCCTTATACTTAGCCAGCCAGTGGGCGTTCCCAAATCTTAGGCATAATGAATATACTTTAGGTAGAATGTATTGCTGTTGACTTTTTTTTTTTTTTTGCAGTGATTCCAATGGTGAAATACTGAAAGAAGTCCTATTAACTGTTTCCAGTGCTTACTTTTACCTTTTTTTAAGTGCATTACTTTATGATTTAACCATATAAAAATTTTATTCTGTCATGTAATTGATTCATAAACTTGAGTTTTATAGAATTGGAAAAATCTATAAAAGCGTTGTTCCTTTATAAGATCTACCTCAACATCTTAAAAGTCACAGTAGACAGTATAAAGCATTATCTTTCCATGGGGGCAGAAGACAGGGTAATAAGCTTCATTTCTCAACTGAGTCCTGGAGTCCCCCGGTCTGTGAGGTAGGAGCCGTCATAAGTGTTTATCGTAAGACAGATTTATTGCATTATTCTAATATTTGATTACAGGCAGTCTCCAAAGTATAAACAAGCTTTCTTCCTCACTGTCTCTTTAAGAACTTGTAGGTTAGTTAGAACAGGTGCGTAAGGTCCTTGCTTTAGTGCTTAAAGAGGCTCCAAACCTTTTCAAGGATTTAAAAGATGCATTTACAGCAAGTGAGAATAATTGTGAGGAAGACTATGTTGCCTGTAGGGGTTGGTTTCAAACTGAGGACAAATTTACGTAACATTAAAGGACAAGAGGAGTAGTCCTTGAGAGGGTGCTCATACAGGTGTAATACCTGTATTTATATCTGGAAAGTAATGTTAAATCCTGACTAACCTTCACCCAGTCTCTCCCATTAGCAGTACCTGACTGCAAATATGCTCCAAGAATGTTGAGTTATAAAAAGTACATCAATCGTACATAATTAGCTACTAAAAGGTCATGTAATTTTTAAAGTAATGTAATGATGCTAGCAACCAACAGAAGATTTTTGTATTGAACTATTGGTGCTATTTCTTTATTAACACAGGTAATCAAGTACCAACTGTGTTATTATATTGTTACAATAGAATACTTCGGCTAATTGAGTGGTGTGATCTGTCATAGTGATTTGTGGAGAGAGTGTTTTAAAAATCAAAGGCTTATAGTTAATCTCTAACGATCTCTGGTAGTATAATGGTTATGAGTCATACTGCTTAACCTCAAGGCCAGCAGTTTGAAACTACCAGTTATTCCGCAGGAGAAAGATGAGGCTTTCTGCTCCCATAAAGATTTATAGCCTCAGAAACTCTACATAGGGTCGCTGTGAGCCGGAACTGACTCCACAGCACACCACCACCACCACCAAACATACCCCAAAATCATTCAATCACAAAATATAGGGGCCTACCAATTACTGCCTAAGAATATGGATCCTGAAGTCTGACGCTGGCATGGCGTCTGATAATTGCAGTTTATGAGACAGAGTGAAGTTTGTATAGCCCTGAATGCACTGTTCTCCAAACGTTAGTCAAAGTTTTAGAAATCAGGCATTCATTGTTCTTTTTCTCAAGGAACTTGAGACAGTCACAGGATGTTTGACAAACCGATTCAGTCTGAGTATAAAAGGTGCTTGTCAGGGTTGGCCTCGCTTGGTGCCAGCTTTTCCACCAAAAAAAACAAACCAACAACCCCAACCTTCACCCCCCTCAAAAAAAGCCTTTTTCTTTTCATTGATAGTGACACCGCCCCTCCCACCCCACCCCCCCTTTTGTGCAGAGCGGAACTGGATTCCATTGAGTTTTCAAGACTTCTGCCTTACAACAGCAGGTTGTCAGGTCTGTGTTCTGATACACCTCTGTGTGCCTTGAAGGAAGCACCCAGTAATTTGTGCCACCCACTGTTGTTGTCAAGTGCCTTTATAGTCACAGT